ACAGAGCGAGAAAGAGTGAAATAGTTTTCTTGATTCTGGCTATAATAACAATACGATCTGGTTCAGATTTTGCACTCTAGCTCTAGCTCTTATAGTCTTTGAGCACTAGGCGCTGAAGGGGACGGACAGACGGACGGACGGACGGACGGACGGACGGACAGACGGACAGACAGACATGGCTCAATCGACTCGGCTATTGATGCTGATCAAGAATATATATACTTTATGGGGTCGGAAACGATTCCTTCTGGACGTTACACACATCCACTTTTACCACAAATCTAATATACCTCAATACTCATTTTGAGTATCGGGTATAAAAACAACACTGCCGATGCGACAAAAGCCATCTCCGCAACATCAGCTTAAACCCTTCTAAGGCCACCAGAAGAACGCCGCACCTGAAGACCACATCGGGACGAACCAAATCGTCGACCTCACGGGGGACACCGACTCGGAGAGGTCCGACGTCTACACGGACACGGAGAGCGAAACGTCGTCCGGCAACAGCACGGACGACGGAGAGGAGTACACCACGGACTCGGAGGAGGAGGAGACCCCCGAGACGCGGAGGTACGACCCCCCGCCGCCATACTACCGCCGTTGCCCGCCGGGCAGCATCACATTGCAAGAAGGGCCGTCGGAGCTGCCCTCGTACCAGCAGGCACTGAGAGCCACCCTACCACGCGTCCCTCGGATCTCGGCCCCTTCGTTTTCACCATTCGCCCATTCGACGACTACTCTAGGCCCCGCGACGCACCCCGACGCCTGAGGTGTAAGAGCTATCTGCTGCCGAGTACGCCGCCCGTTGGACGGTGGCTCCGCCAGAGTGGACAACGAACACCGCCAACCGAAAGACATCAGGTCACGCGGACTTTCCCCACTCCAGGCCAAGCCATCGGCCAAGTGCGGTCTTCCGGGTTCATCAACTGCGGAAAGATGTGGCCGCGAAAATCTGCGACGATCACCAAGAACGGCAAAGTGCACTCCGACGCGGAAATGCATTTTCAAACCCGCAGACCCAGCAATACGGACCTATAAAAAGACGGCGACGAGAACCAAAGAACAACTAACGCAGAAAACTTGGTTCGGAGTACAGACGTTGTACCCGGATCTTACAAGAAACACCGGCGATCAATTAAACTAAGTTCATTTAAAGCACTAAGAATTATAATAAAGTGTCAAATTATCCAAGTAAACACCCGATTGCGTAAGTTCACTCCAACTAGCCGAGGCACCGACACTACCCCACCCCGAGTCCACGCACGCCGTTTCGTATGCACGACGAGCGACGTTCACTCCAGCCCCGATCCACCTCTCTACGATTGGCCGACCCCCGACGCCGCCCTTAATGTTCCATACATTTCTACAAAATTTCTTGTGGATTGAACCCTGGACGTGACTGAGCTTACCTGAGCCTGAAATATGTCCATCACACCACATGCCCCTCCCACTCTCCCTCCCACTCCCAATCTCCCTTGAGATGAAGAACATTATAACTGATTTAGTGGCCAAGAAGGAAACCTTTAAAGGGGATGATCGCAAGATGTAAGGATTCACGAATGCTTTAAGGCATAGAAGGGCAACCGCAAATTGGGTGATATTCGTCTACGTCTATTCGTCTACTCGATAAACTTTTCTTGTCTTGTATTTCTTTATAAAATATATAAAACGTTTTGAGCATCCAGTTTCTCGTTCAGCCCACGATCGCGCCACTGGATCATATCATTGTAGATGGGAACAGCATTGCCATCGTCTAGGGTGAGGTCCTCGATCACGTGCCGGTTGCCACGAAGTGCCCCCTTCGATTGGGGGAGAAGTAAAATGTTAAACTAGATGTGTAGTGTGTAGTAGTAGTGCTCGTCTGTGATTGTGTGTGATTGTGAAATCCAAGCGAGTATCTCGTCTGACACTTCAGGCAGTGACTGCTTTTCTCCATGAGATATGTTTTCGAGTACATAGTAGGATAAAAACAAAAATATTATACGACACAGTAGGCTATATTTTATGTGATTTTTCTAGTATCAATCTAGTATTCTTATGAGTGTGTCTAGTACATTTGGTATTTTTTCTACAATAAATCAGCCAGCCCAGGCCGAGGGCCTGATTATCGACGATTTTGCAGGAATTGCTGATAGCTTAGGACGTCCATAAACGCCAGGTTGGCCAACGGTTCTGTGTCGTTCGAATGTTTCGGATTCGGTCGTAATTCCGCCTCTTTGGGTGCGACATCTGCCTTTGGCACCGCTGTTGAATTGACATTAGAATCGGCTTCGGATTTGCTTCCGAAGAAAAAATTGGTCAGGATACTCTCCCGCCTCTTGCCGCCGGGATCACCAGTATCCCCGCGGGCTCGACCGCCACCACCACCGCCCTCGTCCATGAAGGGCGTCATTATTTCCATGGGGAAGGGGTAAAGGATACAGCAACGGCGCTCTGCGGCAATCGAGGTGAGAATTTGTAGATGCCTTAGCTGCAGGGTAATCTTGGTACTCCCATTAATTTGTGTTTGCTTTATAAAATATGAAACAAAAAACGGACAAACATTACATGGCAAACAAACATGTTAATCGATACTGTCTGGCATCTTAGCACGGCGTCGCTGTTTTGCCTGCTTGGAACGCTTGCCGTCTCCACCACCATCGTTACAATCTTGCTCTTGTTTTTGACCGTCCTTCATCATGACAGTGGGACCAATGCACAATGGTCCGAACGACCACTTTTGTTGGCCAAAATTAATAACTCCCGAACGGAACAAGATTTTTTCATTTAGTTTTTTGTATTGGATATATATAATCAAAAAGAAATGGATTTAAGAAAAATATGGGTGTGGCACCGCCCCTTTTTTAAATAATTCATTATTAAATTTGTAGTTATAGTGAAAAAACGTATTAAACATATTTCATTTAAGAAAACGGCGTTGCAAGACTAAAAAAAATTTTGATTAAAATAAAAATAAAATCGTTTAAAGGTTTCCGTAAATTATTGTCGAAATCCTTGTCTAGAAGCAAGGTTAACGCCTCGTTAGGTGATGTGTGTGCCGGCTTTCCGACTGGGTCCTGTAAAACCTTACGAACTTAATTAGCATTCTCTGGACATAAAGATAAATATATTGAAATAAAGGCTTGTGGCCAATCCACATATTTTCGTTCCAACAACTTTGAATTTTACCGGCATTTGTTCCGATATGTTGCCAAACGATAACAAATTTTCTTGCTGGTACCTTCAAAAGCTTTATTAATTTCATATGATATGTCGCCTTAAGATCCGTTTTCAAATAATTGATAATTTTACCCTTCTCTGAATTCCATACGGCAAAGAAATCTGCATTTTCGAATTTGAGGTTATGCTATATTAATGAAAATTCCAAGAATTGTGGTAAAAAGTGGCATTTCTAACTATATACATTTCAAAAAGAATTTATTAATCTACGACACACAAAAGGTTTCAGGGTGGGACTAGGTAGGACCAAAGACTATAAAATACCAAGATGTTGCATGAGCGACCAAAAAGCTGTTCTATGGCGGGTCCTAACATTAGAACCCAAAAGGCACGAGGGAGCGCGCGGGGTTTCAATTCCCTTTTCGCCTGTACTTCGTCTCTACCGCGACCCCGCTGCCCATTGGTTTCGTCTGTTCGGCAATGCCTTCACCAGCAACGAAATAATTCTGGACTCTCGAGCCTCAGCACCGTCGAAGCGGTGGTCGCGGATCGCCGATGTCTTTGGAGCGGCACAGTGGGACCTTTGGCCTTTGGCTAAATTAGTTAGTGAATATGAGTTCAATAAATATTTGCACACTGAAAAAATGTTAAACTTTGAGTGCTTATATCTTCTAAACTAAAACTATCTTGAAAATTCGATTGGAAAATTCTCTATTAGATGCGTACTTTAAATTGATCTAAAGCAATCATACAATTTTTTTACTATTTCGGCTGAGTCCCCACTGTGCCGCGCCAAAGACACTTAGCCACCACGCTGCCCTACGGTTTCGGCACGCAGACGATTCATATTTTGTTTTTGTATTCTTTCTCTCGAGACACACCGACTCGACGCTGACCGAGGCATTGACGAAGCCGAGTAGCATTTCGGAGGCGAAGGTAGCGTAAAAGAGAATTGAAGTAATAGCCCCGCGCGCCCGTACCATGAAGCGTCAAACAAAAATTGAAAAAGAATTTGTTCCTCATGCAACATCTTGGTATTGTATAGTCTTTGGTAGGACTCACTTTGTAGACTTTTTCAAAAATTAGTTTTCATTACAAGTTGGCACATGTTAAAGGCCTCACTTTAACCTTCAATTACGAAGACATCACAACTACTAGAGACAGTTAAAAACTCAATACACGTAGTAAGAACCCGACAGATTAAGATTCATCAAAAAAATTTAATCACGTCTTGGCGTTTTTCAATCTTTGAGAGATCTAAAGTGGTTATTAATTTGGCACGTGCTTTACTAAAAAAACAGTGGGTTGCACAGCTGATTTTGCGAATGTGTCGCCATCTATGGAAATTTCTGGTACGCAGATTTAATGGTCGATCTTTTTCTAATGCAGAGCTATCAAAACCAGGTGTCAGTTTTGACTTTGAAAAATTAGGTTTTGGCCAACAAAAGTGGTCGTTCGGACCATAGTGCAATGTGCTGCTCTAATTGCTCCACGGAGTTGAATTGTCCATCACCACCTCCATCGTTACGAGCACGACGTTGCTTGTGGCCGGCCTTGACCATGACTGTCTTCTTAATTGGCTGCTTGATTTGCTCCATGGAGTTTTGCTTGCCGTCTCCAGCGCCTACTTTACCAATGTCCTGCTCGAATTGTCCCACCGAGTTGCACTTTCCGTCGCCACCACCATCGTTGCGACCACGACCTTGCTTACGACCGCCCTTGACCATGACAGTTGTCCCAATGTGCTGCTCGTCTCCAGCTTCTTCGTAACGATCACGCTTTTGTTTTTTGGCGGACACGTTGGCACTGTCGCCAATATCCCGCTCGAAGTGCACCATCGACTTTAGCTTGAAGTGGAGCTCGTTGGCGAACTCGTGATCAGACTTCCGGTTTTAAAATGAAGTTCCTATAAAAATTAAACCAAAATTAAACCAATGAAATGGATGAAATACAAGAAAAAGGAATCCGGGGGAAAGAAGAAAGGGCAGTCGAAGAAAACTAAGGGGAAAACGATGGGGAAAATCAGGGAATAATTGCAGGCCGGGAAGAGAATGTGGGAGTGAGAAAAAGTAAGGGAAAAGTATGGATACCCTTTGAAACGATAGAAGAAAACCAGCTCCCTCTCACAGTGTGGCTTAGCACTTATTATAGGTTTTCATTATTTTTAATCACTCAGTCAACGAATAGAAATAAGTCCCAAAAACTAGATATACATATTTCAAAAACAATTTCGATCTTTATTCAAAATTTTAAACGAAGCATCTCCGTGTGCCACATTCGGAGGCGCCCCAATAGGCCTCGCTCCCCAGTCTGATTCGCGGCTGAGGCTGGAAAATGGTCAATGGCTGTGTGTTGGAGTGACTGGAAGGAAGGCTAGTATATACCGTTAAAATTTTCTGGAATATCTTGAAGATGGTTTGGCCCATGGGCCATTTGTAGGCCATTGTGCAGCTCCACAAAAATTGTGAACCGTGAAGTCGTAGGGCTGCGCGATGGCCATCATCAAGGACCAAGCGCGGATGCGTTTCACTAGCCTGTGCCCTCACCGAAGACCCCATTTCCATCAGCTATGCGCCCCCGAATGATAGCCTTTGATTTGGACAGTAATTTATAATAAAAATAATTTATATTTTGACAATAATTTGTATGACTTTAGATGCAAAGAAAAGCCAACTTTTCCAGACTGCAAATCCCTTGAGAAATGCCACAAACCCCGCAGAAGAGAAGGAGCCATAGGGGCAGGGGCAGGGACAGTAGCAGGTGCTGAAGGGTAGGTGGGCTGTGCGACTGACAGACAGAAGACGAGCCCTGACAGGCATCGAGGCAGAAACTTGTTAGCAATGCTCCCCCCGCAACCCCCCTCCCCATCCCCGCCCTTTGGCTGTTGTTGCCTCGTTTTCGCTTTTCCTTTTCGCATTTCGCTTTTCGTTTAAATTGTGCAACATTTCCGAGATGCAAAAATGCCGCTTGCCTTTGCCTCTTCGCCGAGTAATTAAAATGCAAAGCAAAGTGCAGCAATTTGAGCCTAATAATAATGGCAGCAGAAGCAGCAGCGAACAGGAGCCGACGGCAGCATAACGGGCGGGAAATCAACAAACAAACAACTAAATGGGGGACAAACAACAAAATGGTTAGCCCCAACGTGCACCGGCCAATATCGTGGCACATTTCAACGCAACATTTCCCAGAGATGCCAGACATTGAAACTTTCTTAACGTTTTCAATTTCCGCCTCAAAGCCGAGAGCAGGGAAGAGAGAGAGAGAGAGCAGGAAAGAGAGAGGTTGAGAGAGTAAAGTGTGGCAATTGAAAATTGAATGTGCCCCGTCGTGGAAGTGGACACAGACCCCAAAAACATCATAAAAGCTTAGACCTAGAGCCGCATAATGCACTGAGAGAATATTTATGGAGACTACGATATATTTCGATTAACATACAGGCGATAACGTTACATATCGATAGCCATACAACGTGAAATATTATTTTGATCAAAACATTATAAATTAAACTTTAAATAATAATTTAACGAGGGGGAACGTTTTGAGTTGCTGCGGACACCGCAACTCTACGGTTATACCCGATACTAAGTCAGTATGGCTCTCCTCCGGCAGACGCCGCTAATATTAAACGACACGACAAAGAGTGCGTGCGAGAGAGACAGAAAATCAGTCTGAGCGTGACGTCGGGCGCTGCGTAGCCACTGCAAATTGATTTGTTCCTTTTGGCTATAAAAATGATCCGATCTAATCCAGATTCAGCAACCTGATAGATATGGTCATTATTTATGATTCTGCGTTTTTAGTTTTCTCGAATCTGCAATATTGTTGATGCAAAAGATTTTCGTCCTTTGTGTGGGCGGAAGGGGGTGGGGCGAAATTTTGAGATATACGTTTTATAGTGAGATCTAACAGGAGTACGGACACTAAATTTGGTTACTCTAGCCTTAATACTCTCTGAGATTTGTGAATATCCCCAGATTTGCATCCTTTGCGGAGGCGGAAGGGGGTGTGGCGAAATTTTGAAACAAACTCGTCTCGGTCTGATATATTAGGAGTGTGGATACCAAATTTGGTTGCTCTAGCTTTTATAGTCTCTGAGATCTAGGCGCTAATGTTTTACTCTAAGCAAAGCCGCCTATGCTACGTGTGTGTTAGAGTGAGACAGAGCGAGAAAGAGTGAAATTGTTTTCGTGATTCTGGCTGTAATAATTATACGATCCAATTCAGATTCTGTAGTCTAAAAGATATGGTCATCCTCTACGATTCTGCGTTTTTGGTTTTCTCGTATCTTTAAAATTGTGGATGCCACAGATTTTCGCCCTTTGTGGGAGCGGAAGTGGGCGGGGCAAAGTTTTGAAATATTTTTGTAGCAGTGACATATCACGGAAGTCTGGATCCAAAACATCGTTGCTCTAGCTCTTATAGTCTTTGAGCATTAGGCGCTGAAGGGGACAGACAGACGGACAGACGGACAGACGGACGGACGGACAGACAGACATGGCTCAATCGACTCGGCTATTGATGCTGATTAAGAATATATATACTTTATGGGGTCGGAAACGATTCCTTCTGGACGTTACACACATCCACTTTTACCACAAATCTAATATACCCCAATACTCATTTTGAGTATCGGGTATAAAAATTAAGTAGAAAATATAAATAATTATAATTCATAATATTATTATTATTATTCCATTGTACTATACATAAATCTACAAAATATGTACATATAATACGATAATTTTGATCAAAACAATTTAAATTGAATTTCATAAATATTTGAGTAATTAATAATAAAAATAGATAATTCTATTATTATTCCATAAAAAAACTGTACATAAATCTACGGAATAGTTTTCTCCAGGTGTCAACCCCATTCGGATTATATAGATTTATCCACTTCCAAATTTAAGTTTAAGGCAGCTGCAGTTAATGGGTTAAAGTATCTCTCAAATGCAGCTCATTAAAAATATTTTCAAACTCAAAAATGTCAATAATTTTCGCTTCTTTCGCCATTCCCAGGTTAGACGGCCTACATTATATTGCTAAAAATGTGAATTAATTTGAGGTTGGCGTACATATATCGTAGTGTAATCGATAGTATCGAGCCAAAACGATCTTAATTATGATCACTAGATTTAAGAGATATACGAAATAAAACGAATGAGCAAGGAACTACATCGAGCGGATTAAGGAAGGTCTTAATTGGGTAGACGGATTCCACTGGAAAACTGTTGAAGGGACTTAGCTCGTACAGGTTTTATGAAAAATGTCTAAGATGAGCTCTCTTACCGCATATTTAAATTACCTGAGGGACTGCAAACGCAGGTTTCCATCCATGTCCCACGGACAGAGGGCGGTACATGTCGCAGCGCATCGTTGGCTTGCGATCTTCCCAGGCCACAGAGCTCGGTACCGTGGGTTGAGTTCTTTGCGCATTTAAATCCACTAATGAGTGCAGCAGTTCCCTTTTGCTCTCTACAGCCTGACTATCGACCTGCAATCTCCATAGGACCCATTAAGCAAGGCAACAGCAGCAGCTTGCTCTGCACTGAACGGGATGCCATAGCCAGCCAACAGCTCCTGCAACAGTGTCGACTGATTCCTCCCTGGACGAGGAGGAATGTTTCAGGAGCCCACTTGTGCTAAGAGTAAGCCCAAGAAGGCGAGTTGTGGAATGCGCAGACGCAAGAAGTCGGCTTGCAAAAAGAGGAAAAGCAGAAGGTCCAAGAAAAGATGCTCAAAGCCACCCTGCAAGTCTCGCAAATCCCGCAAATCCAACAAGTCAAAGTCCAAGATGATGATCCTCACGAAATTTGGCTAAAAAGAAAATTACTGTAAATTCACACGTGTTGGTCCTGGAAGTCGAGTTTTATAGACTGGAATATCCGTATTTCCAAGTTTTTTCTATAAACAAAATAATTTTATTTTTAGGTAGTAGAGAATCCGCTCCTGGGGCATTTCGAAGTGGCCCAAAAGCTGCTTCAGGTGCCCATTCGGCCAAAGCTGGGGTTGGAGTACGTTGAATTTCTTGAAGGTGCTCCTGAACATGCAGAACTTTATTTTATCCATTTTATTATATTTATATTATTATATTATAATAATATTTATTTTATACGTCCAGTGGCTTGCGGATCAGCATGAGCTTTTCGATGCGCCTCTTGTACGAGTCGTACAGCTCGTGTTTGTTCCTACCTACGAAGTATATATGCCTCTGCAACTTTCCGCTCCACACCATTTGCAGGTAAGCAATGGCCAGAGTGGGATACAGCATCACGTATAGTTCATACTTACGAAAGTCAACCATTTCCTTGGTGACCTTCCCGATCGTCTCGAACATCTGCTCATAGTCCTCGGGCACCTTATCTGGTACGGTACTACAGAACCTTTGCTGGATTGGTCCGAGTCCAGCACACTCATAAAAATCGACGAAATCTTCGTCGAATTTACTCTTACCCACGCCGTCATCTTTCTGCACCTCCGATATCCCAGAGTCTAAAACTGTGTCAGCTTCTGCGTGGTAATTTATAAGCAGCGAGACATTTATTGCATGTCCCCATCGGTCTTTTGCCAGGGTTCCTTGCATTTTTTTATACCCGATACTCAAAATGAGTATTGTTTTATACCCGATACTCAAAATGAGTATTGGGGTATATTAGATTTGTGGTAAAAGTGGATGTGTGTAACGTCCAGAAGTAATCGTTTCCGACCCTATAAAGTATATATATTCTTGATCAGCATCAATAGCCGAGTCGATTGAGCCCTGTCTGTCTGTCCGTCCGTCCGTCTGTCCGTCTGTCCGTCCCCTTCAGCGCCTAATTCTCAAAGACTATAAGAG